GCTTCTTGCCCTTTAAGATGAGCCACCTGGGTGTGAGAGAATCCCGAACTTTAGGGTGCCTTTGCGCCCGATCTAAGCCGTTATGGAAGGGTGTATTAAACAACCGGTGCTTGTGCTATTGTTCTCCTTGGCACACGTTTCTGCAAATGGTGACACGTCTGATCGAGTCTGTAAAGTATGTCAACAGGATTTATAACTCCCTGAACATTTAGAGTTTAGAGAGGCATTAGTATGTAGGTTGGCAGTAAATGTTTGGAAAGCAGAATAGGAAATTCTCGTATGAGGCTGCACATGGTAGTATACATCACAACATAATGACTGGAAGAGGAAGCTTGTTCACTTGGGTATTATTATTATTATTCACAAACATCTTATGGATACATAAGTGCTGTGAAGAAACGATTTCGGGTTTCTTCAAAATAAGTTGACTTATTTAAAATATCTGTTGTTGGGAGAGCGATTGGAATCTCTAGGAGGTACATTTGCCTGTATACCTGTCTGAAGATGAGGGCGGTGCATAACGAAATGATCATCACCTTAATTAGTCATGCTTTACTATTGGCTCTTCCTGGGTTCACAAATCTCAGAAGTGCTTCCAACAAAACGTATAATGATAGGGGAACAAATTTATTAGGATGATAAACTCTCTTTACACTGTACTCAACAGGATTTAAATATAGGCCAAAGACTACTATTCTGCTTTTTTCTGTCAACAGAACTAGGAATACCCGCCGGTACGAGATTAATACCAGAACTTCTGGGTATAAATACATTTTCAGAAGATAAAAACACAAAAAACTTACCAAGTTTGGTCTGTAAGAGATGGTTCATGGAGTGTACGATCACTTTACAGGTGTGGTGGACGCTGCTTACAAGACTTATTCTAAGTAATTTTAGGTGGGGGTGTCTCATGAAAGGTGCTGCAATTGACAGCTCAAGACAGGAGTCACTGGAAGCCTAAAGGATGACAGTTTAAGTATACTTTTGACACTAGAAGGGAAGCTGTAGATGACAGTGTGCAACCAGCTTGGGTTGATGAACATGCAACAGATGTGAGTGGAAGATCAAAGAATATGTGTATACATATTATAAGCAATGTGTTCCTTCTTACAAAATACATATACTCCAGACGGACTTGGCATGTTCACGCATCATGCACGTGCATGACAAGCAGAGAGCTTAGTAAGAATTTACAGTGCGCTTGTGGAGGGAAATAAATTTCGGAAATCGATGAGGTGAACCAGAAAATTTCTCGCAAAAGATAAGAAAGGCTCTGAAAACACATTTAGACACATTTTGTCCAGCCAGCATTCACTAGAAGTTTGCCAGAAACATCACGAAAGTGAAAATTCACATATAGAGTTTCTGATTGGCGGATTACCACACTGATACTATGTTTAGTATCATTGCAGAATTTTCGGGAAAACCCAAGGACTTCTGAGATACTATAAAAACTTTATATTTTCTGTACATAAATGAACCTTTGTAGTAAAGTTATTCTCGCAAACTTTGCGCCTTTTCTCTTGTGTTCAAGTTGCTGTATAGATTTAGCTTGGGGGTTACGAGACTAGCTTAGGATCAGAGTATAGAGTTCAATTAGCAAGACTTATCAAAAATAGTTTTGTAAATCTTCGACACTGATGCTGGACACACACTAGCTGAAGACGCTAAGTCACACAACTGCACTAGATCACGAGTGGGTACTGTGACCTGTTCAAACTTTCGAAATAATAGTTAGCGTAGATCGAACGCTTCGCAAACTATCGACAACCGCCAATAAACTACATCGAAATCCTTCATGTTCTAAAACAAATTTTTGTCTCTATTCTTCTCATGTTAACAAAAGCCGAATTCCAGGAAAATTTACAGTCGCTGACTTCCGTCACCTTACTGTTTAGGAACAAATGTACTCATCTAGCTTAAAAATATATCAACCGACAGACAACTTGGACTTCGCTAGTGCTCAAGCTAGATGAACCTCGTTGGACTACATGAGTGACGTAAGAACTGCTCCATGAAATCAAGAAGTGAGAACAAATAAAATAGTTTATAATGTCTCAACACACAGGCATCGAATTGAAGCTAGCGCATTTCAAACTGGAAGCATGAACTTGGCTAAATGAAATGGATGGGCTACGTGAACTTAGAAACGCTAATAATCCTTATCTGATAAGAATATCTGAAACTTAGATATCTCAGTTTACGGTCTAGGAGTTAGCAATACCTGGGATGTCTCTGTTTCGCAACGACAAAAAACAGGAATGAAGGTGGAGTAGCCTTGTACATATGATCATGCCTGGAGGTACACCGACTTCACAACCAAGAGTTTATTAACCTTGATGAACCCACATGGTGCTCAGTAAAATTGTCTACCACCTCCAGGTGTCTAGTTGGAGTCATCTACAGGAAGCCCACTGCTGACGTCGAGTATGACAATCGTTCGCTGGGAGGATTAGCCCGCTCTACGCGTCTGGGATTCTCTCATATCCTGATTCTAAAGGACTTCAATATTCATAGAGTCCACTTCGCGGAACATACCTATATTGGAGGTGAAAACTCAACTGAAGCTCGGTTCTTCAACCTCATTGAAGATCTGCGATTATTCGAAAATATGAAGTCAGCAACTCGTTGAAATAACGGTCATACACCGTCGCGCCTAGACTGAGTGTTCACAAATGAAGAATTATTAGTCGACAACCTCACAATTCTGGCTCCCCTGGGGAAAAACGATCATGCCATTACATCCTTCAGTTTTGTCAGCAAAAACTGAGCTAAGATGTCCCATCAACAACAGGCGCTGGAATTTCAAACGATTGAATGTGTCAGCTTTACAGGACTATATATAACATATGGATTGGGATGTTCACCCTCAACTTGAAGTGGATCCTCCTTGGGATTTCTTACTGCACACGATCTTATGTGCTACTAAGCGTTCAGTTCCTCGAACGATACCCGAAAGCTACAAGCAACCTCCAATCATCAAGAACCACACTTTTCGTTTGCTAAGCCGTAAAACGCACTGTTGGTCAAAATACAAACTAAATGATAACGACAGCGCGTACAGGCAATATAAACATACAAGGAACATATGCACAAAGGCAATAAGAGAAGACAGGCTTCAATACCAGACCAAACTTACCGGTAAATCTGTCTCCTATCAGCAAAGCTTATTCCGTTACGAAGCTTCTCTTCAACAAGTATAAGCTGGAGTTTCCCAACTGCTAGGCCCTAATGGTTCAACCAATAACGCCGATGATGCCGCTAACCTTTTAGCTGAACAGAAATTTCAACCAACTCACATCAACCACATTGATGAAAGCCTCATCTGCATCTGCAAAGGACTTCCCGAAGTTAACATGAGCGCTAACCTGGTGTTCCATAAACTGCAGCACCTAAGAAAAGACACTTCTCCTGGTCCGGATATGGCTTATTCGGCCATACTGAGGGGAGCAGCTCCAATCTTGGCAACATAGATTAGATGTTCTCACACTCGCTAAGTCAAGGCAAATCGCCAGAAATTTGGAAGCTGGCTCATATCACACCAATTTTCAAAGGAGGTTGACGCAACGAACCCTCGAGTTACCGATAGGTGGCCCTTCCCACTATACCTTCTAAAATTATGGAGTACCTGATATGCGATGGTATACACGATTAATTGTTAACCTTATTATTCTTCCCACCCCAATAGCATGGTTTCCGGGAAAATCACTCTTGTATGACGAACCTGCTGATTGAGGTGGATAGATGGACAAACATCCGTGATCGCAAGGGGAATGTTGATATCATTTACCTGGATTTCTCAGAAGCTTTTGATAGGGTCAACAACATATGTCTTATCAATAAGCTTAGACGATTGGGTATCAAACCACCTCTAATTGACTGGCTCACTTCATATGTAGAAAACCGACATTTTAAGGTCACGGTTAACTTCACGCTCTCTCAGGCTATGGAATGTCCTAGTAGGGTCCCCCAGGGCTCACTACTAGGACCTCTTCTCTTCTTGATTTACATTAACGATCTTTCTCAACAAGTTTTATCTGACTTATTGCTTTTTGCTAATGGTGCGAAACTTTGGAGAGAGAGATACGTAACCATAAGGATATACCAGTAATTCAGGAGGATCTGACCCCGACTTCAAAGTTGGGCAGACGACAACGGACTTACCTTCAACACTTCAAAGTGCGAAGTAGTCCATCTGCGACATGTTGCAGACTATAGTCACAACTTAGGTAACTCCTCTCTAGAAGTTTCCCAAGTCGAAAAAGATTGATAGTTGTTGGAACCCTACGACTTCAAGTCGTACGCTAACTGTGACAAAAACGCATTTCAAGCAAACTTTGCACTGGTAACATTGAAGCGCATTTTTGACTAGTTTGACGGTAGAACTTTCCTCATAATCTTCAACAGTTTTGTTTCGCCCCATTTAGAGTACGGAAACATAGTATTTCCTCCCTCTCTCCAAAACGATAAGAACACTCTGGAACGTTTCCAACGGCGAGCCATGAAATCAGTTCGGGGACTCAAATGCAAACCTTATGAATAGCGCTTCCAATCACTTAACCCTTAACCATTGTAATATAGGCGTCTTGAGGTGGCCTTCTAATGGCTTACATTATCCTTAACACTTCTGGTCATCTCTTTAAACATGTACTTAAGCTTAGTCACAATACTAACCTGAGGGGTAACACCCAGAAACTGTAGACGCAACATAGAAGAACAGACTGCAGATACAACCTCTACTGCGTAAGAGTTGTCAAATGCTGGAATTCGCTGCCGACTGAGCTAGTCCAAACGACTTCCTTTAGGAGGCAACTTGACCTATTATTAAGGACTAAGGATAAGATCACATTTTGATTTACCAATTTCTTTTCCTATACTATCATTAATATACCTAGGCTCATGCCTGGAGGTATCGATGATCTACTGCTAATAGACACGGAAGCCCGTGTCCACAACCATTTGAATCATTTAAAGACATTGGATGTAGTATATGTATAGATGTTTTTTGAACATTTGCGTTACTAACCAAGTCGCCAAGGTCAATATCACCGTAGTCTAGTAATATTATCTTTTCTGAGTTTAATGAGATAGCTGTCAAAATACAAATAAATGTGTTTTCGTATTATATCGTGCTCCTCAACCATCGGATTATTTCTATCTATTCATAGATAAGAGTGAATTGTCATGTTCGTTTCTCATAACTTTGCTCGAACTTGAACTGCTTACTGGCAATATGACTAAATATATTTAAGATAATTTTCACTTCTAACCATATCGTAGGTTGGTGTCAATCGAGTATTGGATACTGTTTTTGCACCCATTTCCTTGACGTTGTTAGCTCAGCCCTCTTTCATACTTTATATCATTGTTTCCGTCATCAAGCTTCTGTGTTTAGTTGAATAGTATCACTTTAAATTTATCTACTATTGTCTGTAAATAAATTTTTGGACCTGGCTTTATATTGTGAAGCCAAAATCTCGTTTCCCTTAGCCCCATGTACTCATGAAGATACATGATGCCAGATTGATAGAGTTAAGTATCTTTTACCATACTTAGAATCATTTCAATAATCAAAAGAACTATAAATCATTGGAATTCATGTGCAGATCAGATTGATCCCATGAAGGTTTATTTAACGGTAATGATTGATACTTAAGGCAATCCTTTTATGATATGAATGAGCATCCTCATGTTTTTTATCCTTTTTTGCCAACTACAAGCCCTAGTTAAGTAGACTGGAACTATCACCAAAAACTAATGATGTGTTAATTGACAGTTAATTCCATCATCTGTAATCGTAACAATATGGAAAGTAGAGGTGTACTACGAGTTATTTAGTCAAGCTTGTAAACTTCAACGTTTCATTTAGACTGGTAAAATTATAGGGGCTTATCAAAATTAAGCAAATAAAACTTTGGCTGTGTAAACCCAGGTTATGTACGCAATAATTGTGAGTAGTGAATAACGACAATCAAAAGTAATCAATCGGTCTTAGAGGTTAGAGGTTTATGAAGTCTAAAGGTTGTTATCAAGGTGATTTTAAAAACATAGTTGATCTCTATAAATTGTTCACTGGTGGTTTTGCGATATCACTAGTTGCTAAAACATTCTCTGTTGATTATCGTTCAGTTTTCACTTAAGTTTGTTATCATAGTTTATTTCTAGTGCTAACCCGTCATGTCGTGGTAGTTTTACATTAATAAAAACGCTGATGTTTTAGATAAAATACGGGTCGTATGTAGTTTTTTTTCAAAATGGTCCTGATTTCCGATTACATAAACGTACAATAAAAGTCCAGGGTTCTGTTACAAAACGCAGATTTCAGTCACTGGAGTGCTTCGAATTCTAATTTACATATTCCACCCAGAGAAGTTGTCTAATATCGTTTTCTCCCACACAGAAAGACTTGCTCCAATCCAAGAACGTAGAGCTATACCTGGTTAATAAGTAGCGTAAACTTCTCTAATGAATTTTTTTCCGTTCACATCTGCAGTTTTTAAAATATCCACTTCCTATAATGTACCCAGTGTACAACATGAAAGACTATTAATTATGTTAAACAATACTTCGTAAATCCTGCTATCTGTACTAGCCACTAATAAAGTGATTATTTATTTATTTATTTATTTAAACACATAAATATTGGTACAAGGAAGCACCAGATACATATGCGCCTCACAAATCTCATTTGATTTGCTTGAGGGCTGTGATACTGCCCAGGTGCCCAAACTGAAGCAGGGACCACACCCGGAGCCTTTGGCCGAAAGATCTGATCCACAAGGCAGTGGAGCATCGTGAGGAGATGCAGTCCCATGGTAGCCGGTGATCAACGATTGATTCGTACGTCATTTGTTCCCTCAGGATACTGGAGCCCATGTGCACCTTTGGTTTGGAATCAGGGTTTTCCAACTCCTCTAGGTGGACTCGCCTTGTCCACCAACCCGGTTAAAGCGCCTGACATTCGCTTTTCGTCCTCTCAATTTCGTAAACAACACTCCCGCCACGAGAAGGCAGTGAGTAGGACTTCCCTGGCAGAGGCTATATATTCGCGTGGCCATATAAGAGCATTTCGAGAGGGAGAGCGGGCTCTCTCCACTCTCGGCCGTACCAGGGCATTTGGATAAAAAGCTATGGTGTAATTAAACTTGTTCCATTAAGATCTCTTATAGATCTATGTTCAATTTAGTCGCTTAATCTGATTGAAATAAAACTACCTCAGAGAGCCACAAGAAAACAACATCACTACATTCATAAGTCTTCAACTAGTTTTCTGAAGTGCATACAAAAATAGTGTTCAATGAATTAGAGTTACTGTTTATGAAGGTAATGAATGACAATTTAAAACCACCAGTGCAGTTTTATATATCTGTTATCTTATTTTCGTTTTTATGCACGTTTTGCTGAGAAAATAAACAATTTAAATCAGTTAACACTAATAACTTTATTCATCTTTTTATGTACTGTTCTGATCAGAAGCACCTCGTAGTTTTTAGTGTTTTGTTTTGACTAGTGCTCTTTCATCACTCGAATTAATTTAGGCAAGCTAGTAATCTCAAACGTTTCTGCTCACATAAAGTAAATGCGGCACCACAGTCGACAAATAATTCTTGGCAGTTTTATGTTAAGTATTTGATAGCGATTTCCTAACCATGCTTTTACTGTTCGCATTTGATCACATAACAAAACACATGTTCATCGACATCTGCACGTTGTCCATCTGATACTGTCAGTGTTCACATTCCTAACCTAAAAAGATCAGCTACCTTAGTAATTATCAGTATTCGGTTGTTGAGTTTTAATTGAGATTCTGAACCTATCAATGTTAAACCATCATTGAAAAGTTGGAGGCACTGGACGTCCATTTCGTTCTAATATAGGACGTGGATTCGTTAAAGCTAGACATTAACACCATTGGATGCCGGCTGAGTGGTTTAAAGGTTAAGCGTTCACGCAAGACCGGAGGTTCTGGATTCGAGTCCCGCGTGTTGGACCCGCGATACGCACTGCTGAGTCCCACGATAGGACAAAACGGCCGTCCAGTGCTCTCAAGTTTTCAATGGTGGTCTAACATTGGTCGGCCCGTGATCTCAATTTTGTAAATCGAAAATTTTAAGTAGTACAATGATAAAGAGTAGTTCGTTTATAATTTTTTCCAAAGTTTTATTGTGACCATTACCATAAATAAATATTTAGTTTCAAAGACTTTCAAGTTAACCATCAAATGGAAGTGGATATTAATGTTGATGTCAGTAATGTGACTTCTGGGGCAGGATCCGCATCAGTGCTTTTACATCCACTTGTTATTCTAAATATATCGGAACATTGGACGCGTAACAAAGTGAAGGAAAACTCCATATCTGTTACAGTGTATGGAGCTTTGCTCGGGAAGCAAGAAGGTCACCATGTTGAAGTACGTATATTTATCGAATCCATATTATCGCTTATCTGACAGATATCGAATTCCTTTGAGTTATTACTTGATGAACCACACATGTCAGTTAACTCTGAGTTTTACAGCACTCGTGAATCTCAATGTAAACAAGTTTATCCAGATTTAGACATAGTTGGTTGGTATACCACTGGTGGTGCTATCAATGAAAAAGATGAATTATTCAACAGACAGGTACAATCTGATGTCATTTGTTGATGCATGTTTTTAGATGCTAGAGCTTAATGAATCTCTCCTCATATTAAAGTTAGACCCTCTGCAAACATGTGGAGAGAACCTGCCAATCGGGGTTTATGAGTCAGTAGTAGATAACGATGGGAGAGTTCACTTTAGACAGGTACCCGTTGTTTTTATTTTGTGTATATTTGGTAAACTTAATTTACTTTAACCTAATTTTGTGAAGTGTCATTCTATTAGTAGTAAGTAACAATCAAACGCACCCACTTAGTTTTCCTTTTTGTATAACATTAAGCTATTTTGAATTATCCCATAATTTATATATTTTTCGGATAATAGCGGTTTCAATATAAGGTGATTTTACAATTCAAATGGTTCAATATTTAAACCACTCCTTACTATTCAGATGACCCGTTATGAGTGCCATACATTAAAAAACTCAGTTCATGACTTTTATTTGATCGAACAAATAAAAAAATTAGCTCGTGAAACAGATGTGATTACAAAACAGAACGTGGATAACCTGTTGAATTACGTTTCCTTTTAGCTCTATTGGATTTCTGCTTAATTACAATAAACCAGTTATCTTGCGTCTTACTTCATAATTGATCACTCTTTTTTCACTATACTCAAGAAATGCTTCGAAGACTTCTATGATCAAATGCCTACGACCTACGTAGCTCTTCTACTTTCACAGACTATCTTCCGTATCCGTACAGTAGAAAATAACAAACTTCTGAAGTGTTTACCCACCCTCAAATAGCCAAACGATCTCATCTACCACATAATTTGCTAAATCCGTAATAGGCTTGCTGAATCTGTATTTAGATTCAGTCACTCATCAACCAACCAAGACTGATAAAACTTGCTATATAAATTAACTAGTCAACCGGTAGAATTACTCGTGCTTGGATCACTTGTTACATTCCACACTTCACTTTTTCTAATAGTTATTAGCTATGTTTGTCCTAGCTACTCCATTCGAAGCATCAAATCGTTTTTTATTTCTTAGAATTACTCCATATAAATAGATTCTAGGAACGTATAACTAATATTTACATATACATTGTATGTGATGTGACACCACACTTGGTCGCTCGTTTTGATAAATGTACTGAATTTCGAGTTGCCTACGAATAATTTTACTGCTTAAGTTTTGATGATTACATATCTAAAAGCCGACCAGTGACACCAATGGGTATCTCTTATTTCAGGTACTATATACTTTAGCAACTGATGAAGCAGAACGCATTGGTGTCGATTATGTTGCACGTATTTCAATGTCATCTACTGACCAGACTTCATCAATGGTAAATCGCTTCTATTTCTTTGAAATGTAATGATTTATCAATATTAAATCACTTATATCACCTAAAACACACTGACATTAATATATTAATACCTATCTAAATTTTAGCAGTTTCAAAATCCTCATACGATATTCACTAATGAAGAATATTTGAGCGGAAAGTTGTTTTCAATCACTTAATCACCAGGTTCAACAGTTATAATTCCATAATTATCATATTCTACAAAGCCCAAAATAAGACGTATTAATGAATTTAACAATGTTTAAAATGGTGGACATTTGGACCTGTTACGACTTATATACTAAAAAATTGTGTTATTTATAAATTAGAAAGGTCACTTAGTAAAGACCAGAATTATTTAAAGTAGTGTCAAGTCCCAATCAGTATAATGGTAATATAGCAGTAATGAAGAAAACATCGTGTGAATAAAATGCACAGCAGGGGAATTTCATCTTGTTAATTGAGGTAATAATGATAATAGCAATCGTAATAACATTGTTGTGTGAATGTAATGAGTAATGACAGTTGAAAGACATCCTCAGTAAGCTAGATTATTACTGTCGACACATCGATGACACGCTAATCGTATGTAACGGAAATATCGACAAACAAGGGATGTTGGATTTTTTTCAATATTGTCCACCCAGCTGTTAAATTCACCAGCGCAGTGGAGAAAGACATTAATACAGCTTTCCTTGATGTCCTACTTTGTAGAAGGATAGACGGTTCCATGGGAAGAATACATGGACAGGTCAGTACACACATTTCCAAACATCATATGAACATATGAACATCATATGTGAACATCATATCAAAGTAGAGGAAGCTTTCTCTGTTTTATATCAAGTTCCAAAAAATCAACTTCAAGGAGCTAGATAACAGCTACTCTACATAACCAAAGTCATCTCGATCAACACCAGAAAACCGAACTTATGTATCTAGAAGAGGTGTATCCAGCCTCTGTGTTGACCTTGACCTACGAATGGGTCACCGGATACCTAAACTGAATATTATAAACCTCCTACCCCCTTCTCATTGTCTTTTGACTACATCTATCTTAATTTTCATATCTATCTTTCTCAATCCACGTGAACCCTTTTTTATCGTAATCACATTGATAACATCTCTCTCATTACTCATTACATTCACACAACAATGTTATTACGATTGCTATTATCATTATTACCTCAATTAACAAGATGAAATTCCCCTGCTGTGCATTTTATTCACACGATGTTTTCTTCATTACTGCTATATTACCATTATACTGATTGGAACTTGACACTAAATCATATATATATTCCGAAAACATTTATGATATAAGTTTAGAGAGCTTCGTTGGTTTGAAAGTTGGAACCTCTAGATAGTTTAGATGCCTAAGTTTTTTTAAACTGGTATTCGGAACTTCATTTAGACACTCATATCGATAAACCTCTAGGAGATAAAGTTTGGTTATCCGTCTAATGCGTCAGTATTTAGCCGCTGGGGTTTATTGAACTTATTTAAAGGATTTTTTGTCTGAGTATTGACTAATCTCTCTGTTCTAGTGTGGTGCCTTACTTCTAACTTGAGACGTGTAGTCGTTGAATTTTGGTTATATGTTTGATTTGATGACTGTTTAAACGTTTATTCACCGCTTACTAGTGTATCTCTGTGTATTTTTATTGTAGACTGCTGAACATTTACTAGGAAATTATCAGGCCATTCAAATGTTAAGTAGTCGCCTTCAACTAATAAGATCTTATGTTGCAGCTGTTGCAGCAGGAGAATTACCACCGAATAGAGCACGACTAAGGGAGATCAATGCTCTAGTTAAACGAATCCCTTTCATGCCTTCTTCAGCAGCCGAACAAAATGACAATTTGTACCGTCAAGCGAATGATGTGTGTCTGACAGCACTGCTTGCCAGCATAACTCAAGGCTTACATACACTCTACGGTTGTATGGTCAAAACATCTCACGTTATAGATCGCCGATCTATTCCTTTGAGTGTGGGAAGTGGAATTATGGACTCAGGTTCCAGTCGTTTTGCCAAAGTTTCCCACTCAATGGGTAATTCTAATTGAGAAGGCAAAATCTGTATTTTGTTAATAGAGTCAGCTTACGTTATATACACCGAGAAAAGATTCCTGTAGTTGTACATATTGACGTCACAATTCTTTTCAATTCACAGTACTCAAGAACCATTTGGATAAAATCATATATTTGGTTGTACGTTGGCTTGTATATAATTATATACTATAGTGTGGTAACTTGGACAAGCCTATGGCCTTTTTGTTTTTGATTTTGATACATCATCTTTGTCACGGCAGAAATCCATCGTCAGCTTACTGTTCTATCGATAACCATAAAATGTAAATATAGCTAGAATTCCATGTCCTAGTGTCTAAAAGTTAATGGCTAATAATAGTCTCCAGATACCAGAGTTGAGCCATCTATTCGCATACTAGGTTGTCTCATGATCTTGGAAAACAGTTTTTTTCCTCGTATGTAGTCACAGTAGTTGATTTAAAGAGATTCCACAAAACTAATGTATTCACTTGCCACTTCTTTCGAAGTCAACAAATACAGTTTTCTTCACTTTCATAGATAATGAATTTATTAGATAATCGCCAGGCTTTAAACTTCTGAATCCTAATATCTCCAGAACGCTACATGAGCATTTCACCTCTAGTGTACATTTTTAGATGAACACATTAAGAAAACGTTATGTTCTCCATATTATGTGTCCATAATCCACGGATAGAAGCAAACAAGCTCAGTTAGCCTTCATATGAGTACCGAATAGTAGGAGAGTTATAGAAATACCTATGACCGTGTTCATGAACACGGTAATCTGCTTTTGCAATCTCATTGACCCTGGTTACCCACCTTTCTTCAAGCTCTTATGTTTAGTGGTATGTTGCAAGACATAGGATCATTCATAAGCTAACAACTGTTCTGTTGCTGTAGTTTCTGAAACTCACCTTTCCTCTATGGTTGTTTCACTACTTTGTGTACGTAATTCCACATTAATACATAACGATACTTGACAACTCTTAGTTCAAAACTGATGTTTTACGTGTGACCATTTTTGAGTCACTTGGATTTTTATCGTCCATCTTCATAAGTTGGTATCTAATTGTATGAAAACCCACACCCTCACACTAAGTTTGTAGTTTCTGACAGATTTGCACGTAATTGATTTTACCTTTATGGAACTCAGCTTGCAAAACCTTTTTATCCAAATTACACATCCAACTTGTATTGAATCGAGACCCAATTCGATGCAATCTACTGTTATCAATAGATTTTCCTCAACAATAGTTATTCGTAGTGTTGGACTAACATCTAACCTCACATAAAATTGACGCTTTCTATTAGGACGTTGATGGTAAGTGAGGCGTTCGTCTGTATAGGCTTTGCGATTGGGTTTATTAGAAATACAGATTAGAAGAACTTCTAACGTCTCTCAAAGCCGAGTCTACCAATTGCTCATAAAGTCGACCTGCTATTTTCAAGTCAGGATAAGTTTATTAATCGGTATCAATCTGTACCACACAAGATGGGATCGCTTCATAATATTTTGATTTGCATTTGAAAATGGATAAACTTCTTTTTATGTAATATCGACCCTTAGCATGAGAATTTAGTGACTTGATATTTTTCATTTCTAACAAAGCATTTTACACAATTTCCTTTTCGGTGACGATTTCACGACTAAAAACAATGATTTAGCTTCTGTATATCACTGTAATTTGGTGCCAGATGAAAAGATTTGATTAAATTAGAGCTTATATAAAAGTTACTTCAAGGTATCAATAAAAATAAAAATCACAAAAGTTTCGAAAACAAATATATAATATTTCTAAAATTCTGTGTTTGTCTATAGACAAATAACTGGTAGTTAGATCCAGCGACAGGAATTTTCAACCTTTTTAAACTCCCTGTTTCGGAAAATAGTGAAAAGAGCGATATTCAATTATTGGTTCGCAAATTCTGACGAAAATTTCTGATTAATGGTATTACAGTTATTAAATTAGTTTGAAGATTAAGATCGATGAACTCTGTGATATCAATATACACATCCTTCGTTAGGTGATAAAAGACTTTGTTGAAGCGTCAAATATTTTACTTCGCTTTCCGTTAAAACATTTAGTAGTCTGTTATAGGGAATCAGAGTTATTTTAGGCACTTATATTGATCGGACTCATGACCTTCCTAATACATTTTCAAATTACGTTCTGGCTATCTTAAAAACTGTAATCTTCAGTGTAAAGATGTTTGACTTAAATATTGTTTAATTAGGACATTTTGTTCGAAAGTCAGACATTGAAGTAATTGCAAACATGCTCCGCCTTCTATTCAAGAAGATTTGGGGGGAAGAACAACGAACTGGGAAGAAGGATACCTCAAGATACCAAGGAAAGGAGATCTGAGCAAATGTGAGAATCACACTGTTGTCAGTACCAGGAAAAGTTTTCAATAGTGTCGCTGAACCAGATGAAAGACGCGGTAGATGCTCAACTTCGAGATCAACAGACTGGATTCCGTAAGGATCGGTCGTGAACAGAGCAAATTGCGACACTACGGATCATCGTTGAACAATCAGTTGAGTGGAATTCGTCACCAAACATCAACTTCGTTGACTATGAGAAGGCGTTTGACAGTGTGGACCGGAGAACATTATGGAAACTTCTTCGACACTATGGAGTTACTGAGATTATCAACATTATCCAGAACTCATACGACGGACTACAGTGCAAAGTCGTGCATGGAGGACAGCTGACAGATACATTTCCAGTAAGGACCGGAGTCAGACAAGGCTGTCTACTCTCCCCCTTCCTCTTTCTTCTGGTGATTGACTGGATTATGAAGACGTCGACATCTAAGGGGAAAAACGGAATACAATGGACATCTCAGAACCAATTAGACGATTTGCACTTCGCAGATGACCTAGCCCTCCTATCTCATACACAAGAACAAATACAGACGAAGACAACTAATGTAGCAGCAGCCTCTGCATCAGTATGACTCAGCATACACAAAGGGAAAAGTGAGATCCTCGAGTACAACACGAAGAACGCCAAGCCAATCACACTTGATAGCGAAACTCTGGAAGAGTTTCATCATTGATGAACAAGGAGGATCGGATACAGATGTAAAGGCGAGGATTGGCAAAGCAAGGGCTGCATTCCAACAACTGAAGAACATATGAAACTCAAAACAACTCTCGACTAATTTCAAAGCGAGAATCTTCAGTAAGAACGTCGAGACAGTTCTACTGTACGAAGCTGAAACGTGGAGAACTACCACATCCATCGTCAAGAAGGTACAAGCATTTATAAAGTTCTCTACGCAATATACTCGACATTCACTGACCAGATACCATCAGCAACAGCCTTTTGTGGAAGAGGACAAACCAGCTTCCAGCTGAAAAGGAAATTAGGAAAAGACGTTGGAAGTGGATGGGACATACATTGAGGAAATCACCAAACTGCATCACGAGGCAATCCCTAACTTGAAATGGTGAAGGGAAGCGGGAAAGAGGAAGGCCAAAGAACACATTACGCCGGGAAATGGAAGCAGATATGAAAAGGATGAATGTTAACTGGAAAGGAAGGCTCAGGACAGGGTTGGATGGAGAATGCTGGTGTGTGGCCTATGCTCCTCCACGAGGGGTAGCAGGACAAGAAAGTAGGACATTTTGTTCAGTGTGAACAGTAAATAGTATGATCCGTAATAATTCTGACCGTCCTTGTCGGTTGGTCTGAACCAGTTGCATTGAAATCTAAACAACTTTGAGTCTAAATTTTTTGTGAGAAGTTCATGTTACAATTTGAACGAGGAGAGGATTCAAGATACAGTTCACTTCAATTACAATACAATTTAGTATTGAAAAGTTGGGGAACAGTGCCTTACTTTTTCTATTTTCACTTCTCGATTTTAGTCAGTCTTTTAAGTATTCATGTTTAGTTATTTTGTAAACTACTACTTGTCATACGGTTAATATGTATTGTTAATTTTTGGAAGTAAAAGTCCTGGAGCAAATCGACTACTGTAAAAGTACACGCCTCCAGATCCTTGGCCAATATTTTTCAATCCCAAAAGAATCATTTATCTAATTAGTTCAAAACCTGAGTATAAATTAAGTTCCATTTTAGATAATTAGTGAAACTTCGTCTTCATTCCAGTGTGAAAACTCACCACTACCTAAATCTAATTTTTTCAATAATAAGAAATTTCCTGTATATCAGACTAAAATAACCAAGTCCATGATCGTATTTAAACATTACTAAATACATTAACCCCTTAAACCACTGACTTAAAATTAAAAATAAATACGTATGTAGTGTTTGCGTTTCCCAATTAATTTGGATCTCTAGTCAGTCCATTTTTGATTAGTAGTACTCTCGCTGTGATCCACAATTTTATTGCATATAGTTTTTTAGAGGATTATAATGGTCGTCAAACTTACACCAATTAAGTTACATGGACTCCGATTTATACACTTTTCTTATCATCTTCCTCTTGGTCTTCATTATTCCTAGAAATAAAGTAAAAATCGTAAAAACCTTATTATGACCATTATATTTACACGTTATCATCTTCGGGCTTTACTTGGCCACTGTCAGCAGTTTGTTTATTTAGTATAAGTTGATCGTTATACAAATGTCGATAGTCTCCAAGAATACCTATTCTTTTTGAAAAATTTCTGTATTACTGATAACATACATACTTTTCATTTTCTTCATGTGCATTAATCTCAGTTATATGTAACCTTTAAAAATAAATATTATGGATCATCGGAAATGTTTATTGCTATAATTACTTTCTTTGCTTATCTTCAGTTTTGTTCAGGTTAATCTTAGCTATATTTTCTTCTGCACCAGGCAATATAAGCCTTAAGGCTGGTGAGCATTTACTTTGTAAGTGAAACTTGATAAGAATACAAAATTAGAAATAATACTTTAGCATTGATGCTCGGGGTAATTGTGTCTGATATATCTTGGTATTCTTACTATCGAGTTCTTCTTTTTGACCGAAATAAGAAGCTCCTTGTCGTCCAAGAGAATTGAACATTTCCGATCTTGTAAACCTAAAGGCAAAAGCAGTAAGTTATTTCAATTCGACAAGGACAATACCATTTTACTCGACTTTTTATAATTTTGTATGTATCTAAATATATAAAACTTTTCGATAAGCCAATATGAATGATAAGCTTATTTGTTACAATCAATGCTGAACTTTATTTGTGATGGTGGAGAATATTTGTAGCTCAAGTGGGTAATTTTGATGAAGTTTCGTTCACTAATCTAAATGGGTTGAATTTTTTTCTCCTTTAGTCCAATAGTATTTAGATAAATGGAAAAACAACATGAACTGAGAGAATGGTGAGAGATTCACAAATTTACGTGCCTTCAACAAGATGGTTTTAGGCGGCACTATATCCTCACACAAACGCACAAATAAAGTTACATGGGTCTCACCGGATCACACTACGGAGAGCCGAATTGATCAACGGAAGATGTGAGAACCAAGAGAGAATCTGACATAGCTTGAGATCACCACTAGCTAGCAGTTGCCAGGGTGAAACTGAAGCTAAAACAGCACTGGATAACTGGAGGAATAGCAATACAAAGGTTTATTACAGTCTACCCTCGAGGTACTGACATACTCAACGAATTTAAGATATCTCTCGGCATCAGGTTTCAGGCCTTACAAGATCTACTCAAAGAAGAGAAAACTACTATGGAGAACAAGTGGAGAGAGATCAGTGAAGCACTAATTTTAGCGTGCCGAAAGGTACTGCGCTGCAAGAAGCATCATCATAAAAAATGGATCTCTGTGGAAACCCTGGACAGGGCTCAAGAAAGGAAGAACAATAAGTGAGTAGTCAATAACAACCAATTGAAAGCAGAGAAAACTAAGGCTCATTGTGAATGCACGGAAGCGAACCAACGGCTGAAGAACAGCATCAATGATGATAAGCAGAAATATATGGAAGATATCAGTGACTTTTATTTTATTTATTTATTTAGACACATAAATATTGGTACAAGGAAGCACCAGATAAATATGCGCCTCACAAATCTCATTCGATTTGTGTGAGGGCTGTGATACTGCCCAGGTGCCCAGACTGAAGCAGGTGGTTTTCTTAGGGGACCACACCCGGAGCCTTTGACCTAAAGGTCTAGTCCACAAGGCAGTGGAGCATCGTAAGGAGATGCAGTCCCATGGTAGCCGGTGACCAACAGTTGGTTCATACGCCATTCGTTCCATCAGGATCCTGGAGCCCATGTGCACCATTGGTTTGGAATCAGGGTTTTCCAACTCCCCTAGGTGGATCCTCCACATCCACCAACCCGGTTAAAGCGCCTGACATTCGCTTTTCGTCCTTTCAATTTCGTAAACAACACTCCCGCCACGAGAAGGCAGTGAGTAGGACTTCCCTGGCAGAGGCTATATATTCGCGTGGCCATATGAGAGCATTTCGAGAGGGAGAGCAGACTCTCCACTCTCGGCCGTACCAGGGCATTTGGGGGCATCAGTGACGACGAAAGAAACTGTAAGGGACGGTAATATGAGACAACTATATTACATGACAAAGAAACTAGCTGGAGAATATAGTAAACCAGAGCAACCAGTCATGAACACAAAAGACAAACCAATCACTGAGGTTCGAGAACAGCGGAACAGGTGCGTATTGTTACACCCCAGTGAAGAATAAATTATGGGTAACTTCTGAGAACCATTAATAGACTATAATTATATATATATATTGTTATTGAGCAACCATTCAGTAACCAGATTATGCATATCCATACTCCTCTTATTATAAGCTTTGTTTTGATCTACAGACTATTTTGATACGATTTACTATTCTTAAATTATACTCAGTCTTTTTTTCCGTTTTAAAGCATGAGTCAATTGAAGCTAGACCACCATGGAAAACCTGGAAACACTGGACGGCCGTTTCGTCCTATTATGGGACTCCTCAGCAGTGCGCATCCACGAACCCGCTCGCGCGAGATTCGAACCCAGGACCTACCAGTTTCGAGCCGAAGCCCTTAACCGATAGACCACTGAGCTGGCATCCAACGGTGTTAATGTCTAACTTCAACTGATCCACGAAGTTGAGCAACCATTCACCAATTGTCTTCAGTGAGTTCCTATCTCACAACAGACGTGGTTTTGAACTCCACTGGTCACTGCTTCTCACTCAGTCTATCAATTGCCATCACCGACAACCATAGCCACGTTTTGGCTTGATCTTGTACAAATGTTATTTTCGTTTGTCTCGTATATAAGCCAGGTATGTTTGACATAAATGATTCGCAGAGTGGAAGCTGATGTTGGTGTTCTGGGCTAAACTGGCAGAGCTAGGAGGACAAAGGAACAATAAGGATGCTAGGCTGCTCATACCGGTTGGACTTCATTGGTTTGGCACAATGCCAAGACTGTATAAGTCGCATTTCGATTGGCGAATAAATCACGTGATAATTAGCCGGACTTAAAGACACAACAGTATATAGTGGTAAAGGTTAGCTTGTTTTAATGACCAATACCTCATTTTGAAGTTTGGAATTTGCTTCATTTTAGACCAAAATCTACTGTATACTCTCTGGACTGTGAATAACTAAGATTCTACTGGAGGTTATATAGTGATAGTACAGTAATATAGAAAACACTAACTCCATCAAGAAAGCTCATAAAGTTTATATGTGATACACATCTGCTTTAGTCAAATCGACATTAAGACTGTGATACCTCGAACTCAATACTATTCACAAGTTCATCAGATCGTCTCAGCGTTTTCAGCGATGCTGCATTTTATTAATCTATGTCTAATTAGTACATTCAAAGTTCGTTCGACCTACTTTATTTCGTACTGAAAACTTCCTACACGAATTTGTTACAAAGTTTTGTTGTTAATGATTCCTTTGATTTATCATTAATTAGGACATCCTTCAACATGAACTTAGTTTGTCCCATACTCCTTACACTCTAACTTTAATGGTACATAATTAAAATTATTTATATTAATTACGCACCATCCAATTTGAGCACAGATTTCTTTAAATCTTGTTCGTAGAAATGTTATCCACATACAAAAAACAAAAAACCAAAAGAAGGTTTCATACAAATTTTGGTCTGATTTTGCAGTTGCAACTGGATCAATTGGTCTAGGGCATGTATTATGTATTAGACTTCGTTCAAGTAGTAGGAATTTAGAGTACGCAAGTGAGAAATCATATTTTAATGAATCTATTCGTTCATTTAATTCTTCTTGTTCCTTTAACTGGCTCATATTGGGTAATCTAAAATAGTCAGACGGTTTTTCGAGAAAAATTTGATAGTATTAGTAAAATTCGAAATAACATTTTACAATATTTCATCGGCAAATGTTTCTTTAAACTTCAATATCTTGAAATAACATTCCAAATATTTCGCCAAACTTATCAATAGTTTGTCACATTCTGGTGATCTAGTTTAAAGAAAAACTAGTTGACAAATAACCGACAAAAATATACTTGATCATTTTAACAAAGTGTTGTGAATACTGGAAATGTTTTCCTGAAGCTTTTAGTCTTGTCAAAGCGACAGCTGTCCTTCCACCAGAAAAATACCAGACTTACATTTTATGTCCTTCATAGTTATCGTACGAATTTCATCAGCAATTTTCATATGACTCCTTTTGTAAAGATTTCTGGTCATCACCGTAAAAATTTATCTAATATTTTACTTTTGTGAATAAATAAACTTTTGTGGTTTTTGATTAGTAAATTTGATGAACGCAAGTTCATTTTTATCATCGCTCCACTCAAATCTTCCTGTTGTCGGCTTTAGGAATCAGATTTATCATTTAATTAGATTAAACACACCAAAATTAGTTCATTTTGCAAAACATTTTCACTGTTCATTGTGTATTTCAACGGGATCTGGAAGAATAAAGATAAACTGTTTGGTACGTTTTATGTGAATAATGTACATTCGACAAAAATTGTATATATTATGATGATTGTTTAATTTGAGACAACTTTTTGTCACGAACTGACATCAGTTGGATAATCACTGTAAATCGAAGATCGACGAACAGCTACTTTGTCATGGTTTGTCACTCCCCAGGTTTGATGTTGTGTGATCCAAGGCACATACTACCCAATGCCTCTAACTAATAGCAAAGTAGATGTGCATCACTTTCTAGTTTTCTGTGATCCTTCAGCTTGGCATCAATCTATGATATAAACTACCCTTTTCCACCTATCGCAATAAGCATAAAATTAGTTAAACCTGGAAAAGCTATTACCACATAGTGTACCCAAAAATATTTTTGTAGGATGGTTTTGATTTATCTTACGTAGACATCCACTGCTTGTGACTGACCAGAACTTTTGTATGTATATTTCGACTGATCTTACTTTACGTGAGTCATTTGGCCTAAAATCTAATCTTTCGAGTTCATATAAGACATTGATATCAATTCTATTAAGTTATATACAAAATAATTATCATAAGAACTTGTTTTACCCTAGAACTGATAGTATTTGAGACGGATCATCACACATTTAAAAATGAACATTACTCTTATCTATATCCCAGGAAAAGCTGTGAATTTTCAACAACCGGACCTATTGTTATGACTGACTGAACTGAGTCCCATTGTAGTATTGACCAACCGACCGTTGCTGCTACCTTGACGTGGTGGTCGGGCTTGCCTATCGTGATGAAGCAATCGAGCTATGTTGGCTGGAACAATCGTTCCTCAAGGTCCTACCATGCCAGACAGGTCGGTTGAAGAGCGGTGAGACTAAAAGCAGCAAACCCAAGGTCCGAAGTCGTACTGTCGACTGTACAGAGGTGTGACGGCAGTAAGGTGTTTCCTTCAGACAACCAGCATGACAGCGATGCTGCCTTCCCACAGGGAGGGGTGGGGTTAGAAAAGGTCGGCCCTAAACATGCACACCTCGCCTTATCCCACCGATTTCCGTCTCCGGCGGTAAGGTTTTTTTTGAAGAACGGAGCTAATACAAAAACTACCCACAAAAAGGTCGTGTGCGACCGACCTCAAGCAGTTGTCCCTTGGGCACTGCGGTCACGCTCTCAGGTCATTAAGACCACTTCTAACCCAATTTCCTTTTCAGGTACCCCCAGGAGAACCCTTCCACGGTGTGGGCAACCGGGAAGTGATAACTGCCCTCATACCTCCAACAGCACTCAAGACCACCGTATTCATAATCAATCTCCTTCAATTCCTACTATTCCTTCTACCTTGACTTTCAACGCTAAACTTCCTGTTCCGGGTTCCTCCTCAAGTGTCACCATGGCCAACGATTCTAGTGCGCGGAACGCTGTCCCAGGTCTACTTAAACCTCGCTCCAAACTACACATTGGAGCCTTCAACGTACGTACCCTATGCCAAATCGGTCAACAGGCCTCCTTAGCTAAAACCCTAGAATCTCGTACCATTGATGTATGCTGTGTCTCCGAAACACGCATACAGGATCCCAGTGTGGTCATTCACTTGACCTCACCTCGCCAAAATGGACAGCCAACGAAATACACCCTCCGTGTGTCTGGCGACCCGTTGGCTAGTTCTCGCGGACTTGCAGGTGTAGGCATAGCACTAAGTACAAGGGCAGAACAGGCACTACTAGAATGGATCCCCGTTAACAGTCGCCTGTGTGCTGTCCGGCTAAATGGCTCCGTAAGAACTCGGAAGGATAGGGACACACGTCGTTGCCTTTTCGTCGTTTCTGCCTACGCTCCCACCGACTGCAATAATGATGAAATGAAAGATGACTTTTACAGAAAGCTCTCTGTGCTTCTTCAGAAAGCTAAGCGCTCAGACATAGTACTCATAGCGGGTGACTTTAATGCCCAGGTAGGCAGCTTGAATCAAACAGGAAGACATTTAGGTGGGTGTTTTAGTATTCCGGCTCAACAAACCGATAATGGTGATCGTCTGTTGCAACTATGCTCAGACAATCGTTTATTTTTAGCAAGCACTAATTTTAAGCATAAGGCGAGACATCGTCTAACATGGCGACCACCTGCACCAAACCAACGATGGACTCAAATAGACCATATTGTCATCAGTCATTGTTGGAGAGGCTCAATAGAAGATTGTCGCTCGTATTGGAATACTTGTTTAGACTGATCACGCTTTAATACGAGCGCGCATTTGTCTGCGCCTCAATGGACGCAGGAAGAGTACACTAAGAAGACCCATTAGGATTGAACTGGAGGACGAGAAAGCCAAATGCGAATTCCAGAAACAACTGAGTTCACATCCAGGCAGTTCTGTAAACAAGACTGACACAGATGCTGCTTGGAAAGACATACGAACAGCTGTGGAAACAGCAGTAACATCTATTAGTCATTTAAACCATAGGGCTCCAAAAAACCAGTGGCACTGATGGATTCGCGTAAACTCATCCCATCAGGCTCTGAACATGACGAAGAGCGTAAAGAAATTAGATCTAGGTTAACTAAAAGTCTAAGGAACGATCGTGAGCAGTGGTGGGCAATGAAAGCAAAAGAGATGGAAAAGGCAGCGGCTGTAGGCAACACCAAGCAACTATTCAGACTAATAAAAGAAACCGGAATTAAGAAGTCAAGTGTAAGTGAGACAATCTCCGAAAAAGACGGAACCCTTGTCTGCTCTCAACCCAAACGTTTAGAACGGTGGGCGGAACACTTTAAGGAGCAGTTTAGCTGGCCTTCAGCTACTGCGCAACTACCCACTATTCCTAGAAAACCTGAATGGAACATTGAAGTAGCCCCCCCAACCCTACTTGAAGTTCAAAAGACTATAAGTAATCTAAAACGAGGAAGAGCAGCTGGTCCAGATGGATTGGCTCCAGAGGTCTTTAAATATGGTGGTCCAATTTTAGCGATTAGGTTGACTAATATTCTGGCTAAAATCTGGGAGACGGATGTAATCCCATCCGACTGGTCACAATCACTGATTGTCCCAATATCTAAGAAAGAGCTAAAATCATCCTGCGATAACCATAGAGGGATTAGTCTGACCAACATAGCATCTAAAATACTAGCCTCAATAATTATCGGGCGCCTAACTAAGACTTGTGAACTGCAAATCAGGCTGGCTTCAGACCTGGTCGTGGCTGTATCGACCACATATTTACCATTCGTCAAGTTTTAGAGCACAGACATGCTTATCGGCGTCCGACAATGATAGTTTTTCTTGACTTGAAAGCAGTATTCAACTCTGTAGATCGAGAGGTTCTGTGGCAGTGTCTGTCATTGAAAGGTGTACCTGAGAAGTACATAAACCTTGTGAACGCTCTTTACTCGAACACTACCAGTCGAGTGAGAGCTTATGGCGAACTGTCATATGATTTTACAGCCTCAAGTGGTGTCCGTCAAGGCTGTCCACTATCCCCATTTTTGTTTAACTTCATTATAGACCTGTTGCTGGAAATAACACTCTCTTCGACTGAATTTACAGGAATTGATCTCCTACCAGGGGGACCACTAAGCGACTTAGAATACGCAGATGACATAGTCCTGTTTGGTGAAGACGCTGGCAAAATGCAGTCTTCTGTTGGAACTCAGTAATAATGCCAGGATGTTTGGGATGCGATTCTCCCCATCCTAATGTAAATTGTTACTACAGGACTGGCCTGCATCAACACCTGAACTAAGGATAGGGAGTGAAGTAGTCGAACGCGTTGACAACTTCACTTATCTTGGATGTCTGATCAGTCCTAATGGGTTGGTGTCTGACGAAATCTCAGCACGGATTCGAAAAGCTCGTTTGGCTTTTGCCAACTTACGTCACCTATGGCGAAGACGAGATATCCGTCTATCAATTAAAGGACGAGTATACTGCGCAGCAGTTCGCTCTGTTCTACTTTACGGCTGTGAAACATGGCCATTAAGAGTAGAAGATACTCGTAGGTTACTAGTATTTGACCACAGATGTCTTAGAAATATTGCACGCATCTTCTGGGATAACCGAGTAAGTAATAGTGAGGTTAGACGCAGGGTATTAGGGAATGATGGTAAATCAGTTGATGAGGTGATGAATCTTCATCGACTGAGATGGTTGGGCCATGTGTTACGTATGCCTGAACACCGATTACCACGACGCGCTATGATGACTAGTGTAGGGGATTGTTGGAAGAGAGTTAGGGGCGGCCAAACCAAAACATGGCATCAGTGTTTGAAGTCACTAACTTCTAGTCTGAGCCATGTTGGCAGATGCAGACTACCTGGTTGGGGTCCGCGTGACTATGGTAACCAATGGTTGGAGACTCTAGGTGACATGGCTCAGAATTGATCACAATGGCGTAGGTGTATACACTTTTTATCTTCCCTTAAACCTTGAGACTAAAATTGCTTCATATCTCTCTTCCTTCCTGTACTATATCCTTATATACAACCTATAATTTATATACTACTACCACCACTAAATTAATTACTTCTATGAACCCGGTGTTCATCTTGTTGTGCTAACAAGGTATGGCAACTTGGACCGATGCATAAATGTGCCTGGTCCTACGTTGTAGCTGACTGACTGACTGACTGACGTGATACTATTGTAGTTCCACACACTTGTACTACTGACTCTTCACTCTTATTTTTATCTGTTTCGCATAGCCGTTATTATGATGAACTTCAAGTAGATATGTTTACTGTATTTTAGTCACGTAATTCAGATTTACTTTGTTAGTTATGTAATATATATGTCCAGCGCTTTAACCGGGCTAGTGGACACAGAGGGTTTAGTTTGGGGAGTTAGGAAACCCTGATTTCAAACCAATGGTGCACATGCGTTCTAGCATACTGAAGAAGCCAATGGCGTATGAACCACACGTCGGTCAACGGCTACCATGGGGCTTCATCTCCTTACGATGTTTCACTGCCTTGTGGGTCAGACCTCTGGGTCAAAGGCTTGGCGTGTGGTCCCCTAAGAAAACCACCGGCTTTGGTCTGAGCACTTGGACAGTATCATAGCTCTCACACAAATCAAATGAGATTTGTGTGGCGCATATGTATCTAGTGCCCCCATGTACCAATATTTATACGTTAAAATATAAAATAAATAAATAGAATACCCAAATCAAATATATTTCATGAAACCCTATTTTTATATGAGGAGAATTAAAAACATATTTTACTATTTTAAGTCAGGCAAACTTCATGACGAAAAAATCAGAAAAAACAAACATAAAACAACTCCAGTTAGAAACAGTCATTAAGTCCTGTTTGTTATTCACTATGAACCAATAAACCTTTATTTTATCTAGGTATATCAGTGAGGTTTGGCTCCTTCTAAGTAGCATTATTGTCAGAAAATGTACGTTCACTCAGGTGATTAAATAGCAAAGTCGTCTTGGTGTCCTCACAAAACAGTTAAAAAACTTACACGATTGAGTCAATACAAACTGATGTTTGTCAATTCTGTATAATACCTCCGTCAGTATGTATGTATGTTGAAGAAAAAGTATATGAGAAACCTAAATCCTAATAAGCAGCACGGAAAATCTTAATTCCTACTTGATCGTAGATTAAATAAAGTGGTAACTAAACCATTCAAAATCATAACGCAAATAACTTATCCACACGGATTTAGTGAGCATAAATAGTTTATTGACATTCATGACTAGATCTATCGGTGTACAATTACAGTGCTATATGTAAACAGTTCTACAGATTTAGTCCATACACCTAAAACACTCGACTCGAAAGTTACCTAAAAATCCCAAAGTAGGAATATACAGACTAAAATATGGTTTTCAGTATCTGTTTAGAAGATCAATACTTTCCCAAAACTGAGTGGTGTTTTCTAGGATGATTCTTAGGTTAAGTAATTATGTGCATCTACATTTACAAGCCTAGACCTTTTAGAAGCTCTGCACAAAGTCATTATTGAAAGATTATTAAGTCATGATCTAGAGTATTTTGTCTTGAACTAAATTTGGGCAGAATAAAAGTGAAATTAGCATATTTATCCAAACACCATTTTCTAAATTTACCTATGTGAAAACTTGCTAAGCAATACAGTCCTTCGGTCTTGACAATTTCTAAAGTGACACCGTGATATCGACAACATGTAAAACCCATATGCAGGAATCAAATTTGGTGTTTGTATGAAGTAATGAGTTCTTTGTATTCGTGTAGAGCAAGTGAAATGTCACTGGATTCTTGCCAAAACATTCGGCAATCGGGTCACTGAATGTTGAGCAGATCACCGATACTCGTCATGAACAACCAACACGCGCCCATTAATTGCACGTCATGAACCGTCCCATGTGGTGGTGATCACCCTCTGTTTCTTATACCTATTCTTAAAAATTATTCTCCGTAATAACGTCGTTTGTGTTGTATGGTCATCAAAGCATCAATATTATTCGGATACGACGAAAAGGAAATCTACGTTTGGTACTGACGGCGAAGTGTGACTTAGATATAAGTTGGTTGTTCACAGCACTACCACATAATTGAAGTAGCCCACAATTATTCGACACCGATCATCTGCGTTATTGGTTTACACTTGATTGCTCGCTGATTATGAATTCCGAATACATTTGGTTTATTTGTGTTCATTTAGTTCCAAATGCCTTGAACTGCACTATTTCGGGAATTCTTAATTCGAATACCACTAACTTTCATATGGACGTCACTATGGTGTTAAATCTTGGACAGTCGGATAATTTAAATTGGGATGACCTTGAAGACTACGAAGAGTAGTTCGAAATATGGTCAGATAGTAACAACGTAGAACTTCGTACGTACATACATCAGTTCGAGTTGCCATACCACATTAGCACAGAGATGCAGTTGTCGATTCAAACCCCATATTGGTAGAAGTAGTAAGAGTATAAGCATTATGTGGAAGATTAGGGTTTGAAGATTTTATTGAAGGAGTATAATCCAATGAAATAAATTTGGAAAGAGAAAAAAGATAGAGACATAAAGAATTCGGAAGATTAAAATTTGGTAGAACACAAAGAGTGGATGCACATTCGCCATTGCAAACGATTCTGAGCCATGTCATTCAAGGTCTCTAACCATCGATTGCTATCATCTCGCGGATCTCAACCTGGTAGTCTACACCTACCAACATGGCTAATTGTGATGTTTAAATAAATCAATGACTTCTTCGTATTGATGACTGTTGTAATTTTGAATTCCAAATACAATACATTCGTTCGGGCTCATTTGATACTTCTTGATTAAATTGCGTTATTCCTGGGATTACTAGTTTATACTAAAATTCAAATACTTCTAATTATCATATTGGCGTCGCGATGGAGCCTGCGATACAACAGTTGGACATTCATTCAACTTCTGAAGCTTGTGAGGATTACCTTGAAAGGTTTGAGATATGGAGCATGACCAAGAAAGATATGAAGGGTGACAAAATTGTGGCACATTTTCTTACATTCATCGGTCAAGAAGCCTACAGTTTATTAAAAACCTTGGCATATCCAGATAAGCCGATTTCACTCCCATATACAACTCTCAAGGAATTACTATTAAACCATGTGAAGTGCACCAGTTTTGAGTGTCGTGAGAGAGCAAAATTTCATAAGATGATTCGTCAGGATAACCAGAAGGTTAAAGACTTCATCCTTGAATTGCAAAGACAAGCTGCCAAATGCAATTTTGGTGATCAGCTTCATGTACAGTTGAGAGATCGGTTAATTGCTGGAATTAACATACCAGGTCTGGAAAAGGAGCTGTTAAGAATGCCGAACTGTTCTTTTCAAGATGCTAGAACTGCATGTATTAACTACGAAGCAGTGAATGAACTTGATATTCAATCGATGAAAATTTCTAATACTTTGCTTAGTTGTCATGATGAATTACAATCTCAGGGTCGATCAAATTTGCGTTCGTTTAATCGTGATTTCTATTCCCGTGGAAATATGAAAGGTGGTTTAACAAGGAACTGCAAAGCAAACAACAAAGGTGAGAATAAGTTTGGTAAATGCTTATCTTGTGGCAAATTTCATTTTCGTAATTCATGTGCATTTCGTAATGCTAAATGTTTTAAATGTGGCAAGATAGGACACATTCAGTCAGTGTGCAAAACTACTGTTCACTTTGCTTCAAGTATTACTAAGTCTGGTAACTTAGATCCCAATAATTCGGCTGTTCTTGATGATCATTTATCTTTATCCACTACTTCAAAAGGGAATGTTCATATTCAAAAGCGATTATATACATCCCTTGGTTCATTTCATGACTTTATTGTGGACACAGGTAGTATAGAGTCCATTATTTCATTCAAGAACTTGAAATCTTTAGATCCTAATGTTGTGGTAAAACCCACTGAGGTCTCAATACTGGGGATTACTGGACACAGACTACCTATAAGAGGATGTTGTAAATTGCTAATAAGAGATGATAATTCTTCATACGTACCTTGTGAATTTTTAGTTAGTGAAACAGGACTGTCCATACTGGGTTTAAAAAATCTGAAAAGGCTTAAAGTGGAATTGTCTCTACTAGTTTCTACAGAGAATTCTGATGCTTTACTCAAGGATTTGATAGCTGTGTGTGCTAAGTGTAGTGGAGGTATGAAAATTCAGCCCATTAAACTTCAAGTACAGGGTGATCCGGTCTTTCTTAAAAGACGAATAATTCCTTATGGTCTTCGAGAAGCAGTACATAAGTCACTGAATGATTTGTGTGCGAAAGGTATAATTGAACCAGTTCAGTCCTCAGCATGGGGTACTCCTATTGTTACGCCATTGAAATCGGATGGCAAGACCCCTAGAATATGCGGTGATTACAGATTGACACTGAACTCCCGTTTGTTGAAGCAAACATGCACGACGATGGAGGCTGAAGATATTCTAAATCGGCTTCATGGTTCTAAAGTGTTCTCGAAAGTTGACTTGAAAGATGCTTATCTTCAAATCCCTTTAGACCAATCTTCATCTATCTTGACAACAATTAACACTCCTTTTGGTCTGTTCAAATACAACTTCCTTCCATTTGGTCTTAGTTGTTCTCCAGCCATATTTCAAGAGGTCATGAATAAGATAGTCAGCGATATTGAAGGTGTTGAAGTTTATCAAGATGATCTCATTGTTCATGGTGCTGATAAAGTAGTCCATGACCAGAGACTTATTGCTTTATTGCGTCGTTTAATTGAGAAGAATATTACAGTGAATCCAAATAAGTGTTCATTTAGTGTATCTAGTTTTGAATGCCTTGGATACCTAGTTGATGGTAATGGTTTTAGACCAGATATGAAACGACTAGCTCCACTGACAAATGCACCGTCTCCAAAAAACATCACAGAATTACGTTCACTAGTGGGTGCTCTTCAGTACTATTCTCGTTTTATTCCTAATTTTTCTTGTCGTGCCAATTGTTTATTTAATATTTTGACATCCAATTCATTCAAATGGGGTGAAGAACAAGAGTCATGCCTACGAAGTCTGCTAAGGTTTCTTCAAAGTGATGCTGTCCTTCGAACTTACTCACCCAGTGTACATTCTGTTCTTATTACTGATGCGTCACCTGTAGGTATTGGTGCAGTTTTGGAACAGGAAGGTAGGCCAGTTATATGTGTTTCACGCAAACTTTCTGTTGCTGAACAAGGTTATTCACAAACGCAGCGAGAAGCGTTAGCTGTGTTTTGGGCTATTAAAAGACTTCATAAATATTTATTTGGAAAGAAGTTTACCATTGTTACTGATCATGAAGCCTTAAAGTTCATTTATCATCCTGACAAATCCTTAGCATGTTCCTCAGCTGCTATGGTTCAACGATGGAGTATTGCTTTGAGTGCTTATGACTATACGATTCAGCACAGGAGTGCAAAACAAATTCAACACGTTGATTACATTTCTCGACAACCATTACAAGATAGACCTGTTAATACTTCAGACTGCTTGTTAGTGCAACCTTTACCGGTGAGACGTCCAGATCTCATTAGAGAAACTCGTAGATACTTTGGATGTATACTCAGTGCTATACGGAAGGGTTGGAATGCTAATCTGAAACGTAGATTTCCTGTCTATTATTCAAAGCGGGACGAGTTATCTACTACTCCTGACGGTATTTTGTGTTTAAATGATCGTGTTGTTATTCCTCCTTCATTACGCAAACCTGTCCTTGATGATCTTCATAGTGGACATCTTGGTGTTGAGAAAATGAAGTCCTTAGCAAGACTCACATGTTTGTGGCCAAAGATAAATGCAGATATATGTCGTACAGCAAACAATTGTGAGAAATGTCATAAGCTAAAAAGTCTGCCTTCGAAGTGGACTCCATGGCCAGTATCGTCTGAGGCCTGGCAGAGAATTCATGCAGACTACTGTGGTCCATTTCTTGGCAAATACTATGCACTTGTAATTATTGATTCTTTTTCTAAGTGGCCTGAAGTTTTTTTCACAACTTCACCGAATTCTGACTTCACAATTCAAGCATTAAGGAAGGTGTTTAGTCGAGAAGGAGTTCCCATGGTGTTGGTGACTGATAATGGCTCTCATTTTGCTGCAGATGCAGTCACTAATTGGTTAAATGGTATAGGGTGCAGACATCTGTTTACGGCTCCCAGGCACCCTTGTTCCAATGGTCAGGCAGAAAATTTCGTAAGAACATTGAAAATTGCTATTGATTCTATTGCTGCTTCGACATTCAATGAACTGGAGAGGGGAGTAGATACATTTCTACTTCAATATAGAAATGCTAAGCATTCTGTGACGAAAGAGACTCCATCAAAGCTATTAAAAGGAAGAATTCTCCGTTCGAATATGAGGTGTTTGGAGTCTGCAGAAGTTACGTATTATCGTGGTAATGATCTTCGACCAGCCACGGGGATCGTGGTGAAGAATGTTGGAAAATCTATGGTGCGAATTCTGGATATCAATGACTTGACCATACATAACCGACACGTTGATCAAATACAATACCAGAATCCAGATAATACAGAGTCTACATCCAATACACCGTCGGACAGATGTAAGATGAACTTAAGAAAAGGACGAACAATCGATTACAGACACTTACACTCCAATTCGAGCTGTGGCGGATGTGATGTTTAAATAAATCAATGACTTCTTCGTATTGATGACTGTTGTAATTTTGAATTCCAAATACAATACATTCGTTCGGGCTCATTTGATACTTCTTGATTAAATTGCGTTATTCCTGGGATTACTAGTTTATACTAAAATTCAAATACTTCTAATTATCATACTAATCCACTTGTCAGTGACTTCATGGATTTGCGCCACGTTTCGGTCCAACCGCCCATAGCTTTCTCCCAACCTACTCTTACACCATAAAACATCGCACATCGGTGGTTGGGCATACGTAACACGTGTCCAAGCCATCTCAACTGATGAGGTTTCACTATTTCATCGATCGATTCGCCATCCTTACCTAGTACCAGTTTCCTAACAACTGCATTACTTACCCGGTGGTCCCAGGATATACGAGCAATGCTTCGAAGACACCTATGATCGAATACTAGTACCCTACGAATATCCTCTACTCTTATCGGCCATGTTTCACTGCCATAAAGTAGGACGGAACGAACTGCTGCACAATAAACACGTCCTTTGGTTGCTAGACGGATATCTCGCCTACGTCATAAATGACGCAAGTTGGCGAAAGCTAGACGAGCCTTCTGTATCCGTGCTGAGATTTCGTCACACACCAGACCACAAGGGCAGATGAGACTACCAAGCGGTCGACACGCTCAACTACTTCACTTCCCATCATTAGTTCAGGTGCCGATGCAACTCATTCCTGAAGTAACATTTTGC